AGTAAATGTTTTAAGTCTTTTTCACTTTCAGCAAACAAGGTTGTATCATCTGCATATTGCAGGTTGTTAATGAGTCTTCCTCCAATACTGATGCCACGTATTTCTTCACAGAACCCAGATTCTCGGATGATTTGCTCAGCACACAGGTTGAGTAAGTATGGTAAAAGAAAACAACTTCGTTGCACACCTTTCTTAATTTTAAACCATTCATTGTTCCCACGTTCTGTTCGAACAACTGCTTCTTGGTCCAGGTACAGAGTCCTCATAGCACAATTAAGTGTTCTAGAATACTCATACTTCGCAATGTTGTCCATAGCTTGTCATGAGCCACACAACCAAAAGCCTGTGCATAGTCAGTAAAGCACAGGTAAACATCTTTCTGATATTCTCTGCTTTCAGCCATCACATTAGGGGTGAGTTAATTAAATGTTTGACCAAATATAACTGTCTAATTTTTAATAATTTTGTATGGTCCGTGAATGATGTTATAAATATCTAAATGGTTCTGGGTAGAAAAAGTTTCCCCACCCCTGGTCTAGACGGTGCCTGCATCTCTGCATCAGCAGCATGGCATCGTCTCTCCTCTGTGACCTTTGCTTCCACTCTGACATTTAACTGTGACCCTCCCTCTTCCTTGTAAGACTCTGATTATAATGGACCCACCAGGGCAATTGCTCCCTCTCAAGAGAAGTCATTTCATCACATCTACACTGTCCCTTTTGCCATGGTTACAGTGGCAAGGAGACTTACTAGGCCTACCACAAATAGCATGTTTGTTATTGTTGCTGTCAAACAACACTGACTCAAGGCAACTCATGGGCACAAAGGAGAACTGCTCCATAGGGTTTTCCAGATTGTGACATTTCGGAAGCCAGGCCTACCTTCCAAGCTCCTCTTAACTGTGAGAGTTTCTGACTTTTCTCCTTTCTTATGACCTTGAGGTGTACTGATCAATATTTGGTAGGGCACTCCTCTTTTGGAATTTGCCTTATATTTTTTCTCATGATCAGACTTGGGTTTTGGTTATTGGGAGGAAAACACAAGGTAAAGTGCCATTGTCATTGTATATCACGGAGACACACCACCAACCTGATTTACATGGGTGATGTTGACCTCCATCACCAGGCTGAGATCGTGTCAGTCAAGTTTCTCCACTAGAAGGTTTCTCTCTCCCTTCTAATAGTTTAGTCTCTGGAAGGAAGTCACAATGCACAACCCCACAACCCCCACTTGAGGAATGGGGAATTGTGCTCCCCCCCGCCCCCCAGTGCATATTATCTCAATAGCCATGGAGTTCTTCTGCCTGAGAAATGTGTTTGCTCTTCCATTTGCTTACTCTATCATTTTTTATATCACTATGATTTCATGCGATACGCAGATGATACATCCTTGCTTGCTGAAAGTGAAGAGGACTTAAAACATTACTGATGAAGATCAAAGAACAAAGCCTTCAGTATGGATTACATCTCAATGTAAAGAAAACAAAAATCCTCACCACTGGACCAATAAACAACATTCTTATCAACGGAGAAAAGATTGAAGTTG